CTGATTGATGGAACATTAGCCAAATTATTGGGAGGAAAACACAACAGCCACTCGGTCTTTTCCGGGATGAGCACCAGTTTGTTAGCTCTCATCCAGTCTTTAACAGCCTCAAGGCCCCGGTTCATCACTTCCACCGCTTCATTGAGGTGGATGAATGGAGGCACAAGGAAAAACTCCAGAGCCCATAGAGGGCAAATACACACAAACACACGCTGTGGTGCAGGAGGCCGACTAGGCCATGACCACATCCACCCAGCAACCAGGCAGAGAACCACTTGCTAAAATTTTTGAAGCCCACCCCTGATTATATACAGTCACAAGTTTGTGTTAAGTCAGCACTGCATCTTTGCAAAAGGCAACAGCTTGCAGATTCAACAACAACAAGAAATGGAATTAACATAGACAAAACACAGGGTGGACATAGGTGTCTATTAGGGTTTCACCCTCAGGCCAATTACCAAGTTGGAAGTTGAGTAAATGAAGTTGGACTTGAATTGTCTTTTCTAGGTACTCTCTAAGGTGCTGAAACTATAACATCCAGAACTCACAACTAGGATGGTCCATGATCAGGAGGGTTGAGTTATTATTATTAGAAGTCTCATCTTGGTAGCTCCAAGGGCATCAGGTTAAAGAAGGCTGCCAGAGACCAAGGTTAACTTCATGCACAAACACAACATCAAACTATGCTGGCTAGAAATATAGCTTATTCACTGTAGTAAATTCTGCATGGAGTTCAAGCTAATTGTGCTTTTCTAATTACAGATCAGATTACGAAGATTGGAGACCAGCTCTGGCCAGTTTGCTCCAGCCCATCCCATTCCCCAAAGAGTAAGTTTTTAGGGTTGTTTTTTTTTTTTGATGTTTTATTTGCTCATTTCCCTGGTAGATAGCTTGCATTAGTCAGAAAGAACTACTAACTAAGATTTAATAGAAGAGTCTAATAGATGTAGCTTATAGCTAAGATTTGTCTGTAAGTCAGGGACTAAAAAGGTAGTTAGTCAGACCAAGATCACATTTGTTTCCTTTATTTTAAATACATATATTTTGTGATTCTGGGGCATCCTCACTGCTATAGTTAACAGTCAAAACAACTGTTAATTGTTAAAAATACAGTAAAATTCTATACAGTGTAACCAAAACAGTCTATTCAAATAAAACCATCTGAATTGACATTTTTTGCTTTTGTATTATATAAAAAAAACCCAGAGTTCCACCATTTAAACTGCAATCACAAAGGAAATTGTTGTTGCAGTTTACTTTTTCCTTTCCCCCTCTTGAAAAATGAAAAAAAAAAAAAAAGATATGCGCAAAACTGCAAATTAAAATAATTTTGAAAACAATGACTAGAATCTGGAGATAATTGCCAACGACTTAGATGATCATCCCAGGAGCTTTTGTGAAGATTTGAAAGGTGGACCTCCTAGGCTTTCACAGAAGAGTGGTTATTAACTGAGAATAGCATTAGCAGTAGCCCTTAGACTTATATTCCCCTTCACAGTGCTTTACCGGCCTCTCTAAGCAGTTTACAGAGTCAGCCTATTTGCCCCCAACAATCTGGGTCCTCATTTTACCCACCTCGGAAGGACGGAAGGCTGAGTCAACCTTGAGCTTGGTGAGATTCAAACTGCCAAATTGCAGGCAGCCGGCAGGCAGCAGAAGTAGCCTGCAGTACTGCAGTCTAACCACTGCGCCACCACGGCTTCAGAGAAGGCTGTCAGACCCACCTAAATCTGCAAAAATGGGAGTTCCAGAGTCAGATGTAGGTGGAAGGGACTTCTCAAAAAATAGAAACGAAAAGTGAACAGGCTCATTTGTTTGGATCAAACAAGAGGTAAACAGTTGCCTCAGCAGATGTATTAGGACAAGGCCAGCCCCGCCGAACCATAAGAAAGGCTGAGCGCCAAAGAATGGAGGCCTTTGAACTCTGGTGCTGGAGAAGACTCCTGCGAGT